AAAAAGACGTATTTTGTGCAAAACAATGAATGATCAGACTTAATGCCCTTTAACTATTCTTGAATTGTTTTCGGTCAAAAACTTGACATTCTATAAAATTTGAACTGCCAATACTTATTATTAGAAGTTATACTTAGTCGGTATTGGAAATTAATATGACTAACCAAGAATTTTGATCAGGGAAAAAACTCCATGCATATATAACAAGACTGCTCGTATCAGGGCACAGCCCTGAATGTTCCGACTGCCTTTTCAGGTTTATCGAGCAGCAGTAACATAAAAAAAACTAAAAGTAATAAAAAAAAATATTTTTTTTTGTAAAATTTGAATTTTTTTATGAATTCATCACCCCACACGCCATATAAAGTTTAAAAGAATAGATTTCAATCATTGTAACAAAACAATTGTAGCAAATAAGCTTCTTTCAACCAATTTGGAACGATTTCAAAGACAGATTAAATCTCCGCTTACGCGTTAATAGCGCGAAATATATCGCGCGTTAATAGTCCCAAATCAGCCAAAATGGCAATCTTTAAACCCCCATAACTTTACGAAAAATGATCACAGGTGAAATATCTTTTCAAATTTAAGCTCAAGACAACAAATATATTAAAAAAGAAACAATAAAAAAATTCCGTCAAAAATGGCTATTTGAAAAGTCAAAATTTGTCTGAAGAAAAAAAAACCCACCCCGAGCACAAATATTCCGTCACTTTTGTATCGAAAGTCGGAGCAATTAGCATTGCGATTTGAGCTTTGTACATGGGGTTGCATAAACAAGCACACAGATAGAATAGCATAAATTTTGCTGGCTTTAATTATGTGTTAATGCGGTCTTTTTGTAAGTCATCCCGCCATCTGGAAGAGCAATTTGTATCGTGGTTCCAAAAAAACTGGATGATATATTTTGGCATGTCCAATTAATGGCAGTTGCATGACCATTTAATCATTTTTGCAACTTTTTAAAGAAAAATTGAAAAAAAGCTAATTCAATGTTTTGTTGTGCTCATCTACAACTAAATTTCTGATACAAAATAAAGAGATTGGTGGTATTAGTAAAATGGGTAGCATTAGTATCATGAAATCTGCTTGAATAATATGTGATTGGAAATCTTTTCAAAAATTTTAAATTTTATGCTATTTATTTTCTTACTTAAATTACGGTCCCCATTCTAAAAATATCATGCCCAGTTGAACAGAATTAACTCCAAACTAAACACAAGCAAGGATAGTCGATTATAGTCCAACTATAGCCTTAACAAAATTTAAAAAAATGAAAAGATCTGAATAAAAAAACAGACCTTCTACATTCATAGTAAAATTGGTCAATTGGAAAACAATTTTTTTAAAAAAAATGACAAAAAAATGAAAAAAAATCTGTAACTGAAACTTTTATTTCATCAATTTTTTTGCAGGAGTTTTTTATTCCCAAAATTTTGCTAAAAAATTTTGTTAAAAGAAGTGAAACTAAGTTTTTACAGCCTAAAATAAGCATAAATAAGCTATTGTAAGCCTGCACGCTCGCCTTATTAGATCGAAATTTTACCGAAAAAATTCAGATATTTTTAATTTCAACTGAAAGGGCTTTATAATGATATAACACTCGATCCATTGCTTTGAATACTTGTGGTACCTGATTTTGCGTCGAAAACAAAAAAATAAAAAAGTAAAACACATTAGTTTTAGTACACATTAGTACAAAGTTTCTCCGCATTTTTCAATTGGTCGGAAGACAAACTTTCCTTCGATTTGAAAACGTAGCAGAAATTGAAAACGATTAAATGAAACTGACAAATTTTAGTTAGGTATGAAAATCACTTCAACAAATTATGAGCTCTGGAAACAGAACTTGAAGACACTGTTGAAAAGGTTACCCAAATACAGCCCAATGCTGATAGAGTCATCGTTCATTCCGAGGTGCTTGAAAATTCTTGAATTCTTTGCTTGTTATAGAAAACTGTTTAATTTCTTTTTTAACTGTCGCCAGTTAAAATTTAGTTTAAAGTAAGCTTGGTTATAACTTTGTTATCGCTGTAAAACTCAAATCGAAGCTTGTCTAAACTGCAAACTTTTTGATTCGACTTTCAAAGTCAAACAAATGTCTGTGCTCGACCAAAAAAGAATAACCGAGACAAGGTTGTCGGTCGAGCACTGTCGAGCACGGTCTTGAAACATACCTCGAGCACGGTTTAAACATGCCTCGAGCACTGTCGAAACATACCTCGAGCACGGCCAAAAGCTACCTCAAGCACGGACGAAACATTCATCGAGCACGATCAATCAAAAAGTTGAAAATTTTCGAAGCATATTAAGTTATTTCAAATGAACAAATCGGCATTTTTTAAATCCTCGGAGCTTTATAGAAATTGGTTGAAGGTGAAATATTTTTTTTTCTACATTTCAACGTAGGGAATTGATCCTATGTTAGTTTTTGTTCGTTGAAACTTTATTTCGATCGCCAGCATTGGTATAATTAGGAGACAAATCCCAAGTATACATATTCATTGCTTTACTCAAAAATCGGAGCAATAAAAAAAAATTGAATCAACCTTGATTTTTTGGTGAACTGTTGACCAAAACTCGCCTTCTTAGAATTTTTTTTATAAGAATCTTACGGCTTCTTTCGTAAAAAATTAGGCTCTAGGCGTGTTACAAGATAGGGATTTTTTCTTTTAGTTATGATGTAAGATAGCGACTTTTCTTACAAGAAAGTTACAAAATTGGAACTTTTCAAATAAAAAATTGTAAGATCGCAGATTTTGCTACTATGTCGGGTTTCTGATGGACTGCTCACAACAATCCCAATATCTTCTCCTACAGCTGTTCAGAGCAACTTTTCGCCCTAAACATAAATTGTTTCCTGATATTGCAGAAGTTTTGCCTGTTGAAAATGGAAGGAAAAACATACCTGTCGAGGATTAACCAAAAAATTGTCGTATTGATGATGATGCCAAAATTTCACCTGTTGACGATGAAACATCATACAGTTCTCTAAACTGAATATTTATTAGACAACTCAACAACTCTACACAGAAACGCTACACTTTTCTGCAGCATTTGCGAAGTTTTAAAACTATTTGGATTTATTTTACAATTATTTGTGGGAAGAATTGTGGAAAAAAGTGTAAGAGTTGTGAAAAAAGTTCAAAATCCTAAACTTGTTCACAAAAAACTAACATGACAAAATTTTTTTTACCAAAAAATTGCAATAAAAATGTAAGATGGGGGAGTTTTCTAACAAGTCTGAGAAGTTCTAAGACGGGAGAAATGCTTGTAGGACAGTCAACCCGGGTAGCACTCAGATAGCCTGAACAGTGTCTGTTTTCAATAGGCAAGTATGCCGAACTGTTTCTGGCTATACTGTATGTACGCCGTACCTTTGCGATATGATTGAAAAATGTTTCCAATTGTACAAAAAACTTTTTTAAAAATCTTATTTTTGGATTATTTGAAAAAGTTTTTTAAGGGATAAGCGTTTTTTTTTCAAATAAGTTAGATAATCATTAAAGATTTCCTAACTTTTTTTAGTATGCTATGAGAACTGGTACTTCATTTGGAGAGCTTCGTTTAGAAAGCTCATCTGGAGAGTTGCTCTTATATCATTTCCTGGAAAAATTTTACGTTTGCCACAATTTAACTTTACCGTCCAAAAACTCTGAAAATATTCGGCTTTAACAGTGCTGTTGGTATAAATTTCAGATTAACTTTTAATGGATTTTTCAGCATTTGCTTTTAATAGATATATGAACTATCGTAAATTTTGTCCCAAAATATTGTCCTGAAAAACATTTTGACCAATTATCCTTTTCGAAACGTTTTATGTCTACGCAGAACATCGTTTCTGATGTCCAGTTCTGATTTAATTATCCGGACGAAACGAACGAAATTTGAAACTCCAAACACATTTAGCTCAAATCAGGTTGACATTAGACAAAAAGAAGTTTCACCAGAATTATCATGATGTAATTCGTTTTTGAAAATTCGCAACCAAAGTTTTACCACAAAAGTGGGTTATTTTGACTTCTTATTAGTTAATCAAAAGTAATGTTGAAACTACGACAGTATTTGATGAAAAACTTACAACCAAAAAAAGCTTATTATACAGCTAAACAAAAATGCAGCAGGCTAAATCTGAATAGTGGAATATATTTTTCCTTGATCTGCAAAGAAGGCCAAAATTACAAAAAACTCAAAAACTTTGCTGGAGTTTTTTCTAGAATTTCCCTGGGTTGTGTAAAAAGTTTCTTTGAATTTTTTTGATCAATTAATAGTGTAATTCTTGATTGACTAAAATAATTCAAAACGACCCATTTTTATGGTAAGTTTTTGTTTGTAAACTCTCAGAAACAAATTGCATATTATAATTTTGATGAATTTCTAAGCAGCTTTTGTTAATTTATTTTTTGTCTTATTTCGATTCATTTTGAGAAAAACGCATTCGAAATTTTAAATCTTTGTTCGTTTTGTCCGAATTATTTTAATCAACACTGTATGTGCGGGGAACTCTCAATGCAGAAGGACTGAAAGAGCGAAAATTACATTAGCCAATCAATTTTGAAAAAAAAATTATTGCGGAAAATGCATCAGTTTTGAACAGCTTTAAGGCCGACAACCTCCCCCCCCCCCCCCCCTCAGGAAAATCTTATATCCGTGCCTGGTCCTCGGCTTTAGCAAATGTGCCCCGCTTCAAAACCTTTCTTTTTTAACTTCGACGTGATGAGCCCCGGACCAATTTTTATATTTTTGACCCCCTTCCTGTAGTAGGACTTCAGGACTGCTAATATGTAGTGCGAGTATTCAGAGCTCTTTCCTTCTTGACGTAAACTTAAATGTAATTTTTTTTACAGCTTTCGGTCATACAATTACAGTGATTTGTTTTTCGAACTAAAAACTGGGATAGTTCAATTGAAGAAAATGTATCTCGCAGGTGCGTTAAATTAATGTTGATCAATAATTAATAAGACTCGTTTTTTTTCTCAATCTCAAATGGTACAGCCTTAAACCAGAAACACAATAAATCTGATTCTGGCAATAGAGTGGCTTTATTAATAATAAATTTTATTCAAAAACAGTATCCACAGCGAAAAAAAAACAGCAGGCCAATAATTGAGTTTTTTTCTTCTCAAAGAGAAGGCAAGATTAAGCAAATGTCAGCCCAAGTTGCCACAAACGACCCAGAAAAACCTCAAAACAATCGTGAAAATGAAAACGGAAGAGGCAATTCGGGCTTGAGCCGATCTAAAACTAAGCCGAAAATAGAGAAAAGTGGTCAGAGGGACAAATCTGAGCAGAAAACAACTGAGGGGAATAAAAGCAAGGTAAATATTTCACTCAATCATTTTGCAGATCTTTGTCAAAAATTCAAAATTTTTGAGTTTTTTTTTAAATTTGGTCTATACACGTCGCAGTAACAGTATGAAAATACAGAGAAAGCATAGAAATGAAAAATATTGAAAAAATTTGTATACAAAATTAGCCGTCAACAAAATTTAGATGGCATTCAGAAAATTGTCTGTCGACACCCCAGCACCAATAAAATACAACTTTTCAAAAAAAATGGACAAAAAGCTTATAATTTTCTACTTATTGTACAAGAAACGAAAAACAGAGACATACTTAATGATTTTAGTTTTTCAATTCATGCGAAGAGCAGGCGGTGAATTATTCGGGCTCAAAAAAAATCCGAATAAAATTCGGGCTAGTTAGTTGGGCCAAATTACTCGTATTATTATTATAGAAAAGGTCAAAAAAGGCACTTTTTGGTAAAGTTTGACCAAAAAGTTAGGTTTTTGGCGCACCCCGGCCCCATTAAAAAAAAACTTCGGGTCAGTGAGCCAAAAATGGATATCTCAAATTATATATCTCAAAAAGGGACTCGAATCCCTGAGGGAAACCCTTAAGGTCGGCAGGGGGCCTAATCTTTGAGGTAAAGGGGCGTCCGCCTCCCAGCTAAATCTGCCCCAGTGGTTGGGACGTTAAAATTCATTCTCCAATACGAGCGATAATTTAAGATGTTTCAATTTTTTTTGAAGTTAGATGCACACAGCAAAGAAAATAACAGATTTTTAAAATTACATGCCTTAGATTGAAACCAAAAGATTTTTTATGATTTCTAAACTGGAAATGTTCAACAGAAAACCAGCAGCGATAACAAAGATACAAAAGAGCAAAGTTCGCACAAGTTCAAGAAGGAATTAAAAGAACAACAGAACTGTGCGGAGAGTAGCGTCACTAAACAGACTTGCGAAGCATGCGAAGAAGAGCACGCAGAGCTGCAATTCTGCATACATTGTGCAGGATCGGTGTGCAATAAATGCAGGTAAGTTGTGCAATGAAAACAGATACGCCTACCCTCCCACAATTTAAATACCCATTTTAAAGTTTGCTGGGCAAACATCGCTACCAATGTACTGCAATTTCGAACCGCTCATTTCAAAATGTCTATCTTTATGTGTTTAGTTCTGTACTTCGCTCTTGTGAATTTTATCGCTTGCACGCGCAAACCTTAACACGCCGCAATGACTTAGAAAATATATGACAAAATCGAAAAATTTATTGAACAAGAAATAGAGAACGATTTTCTTCTTCATAGTTATACATTTAACAAGGATATACACAATCCATAAATCTGAGAGAATAGCCTACGATTGTGAATATTTTATTTTTGTTATACATTTTAAAGAGATATATTCAACCCATAACTCTTGAAGAATACCCTACCTACACTCAGTAAAAAGTGAAAATAATCGATTATATTACAATTATAATTGTACTTATATCAAAATTATCATTAATTATCAGCGCCAAATTTAAGCAACTTATAATCTATTCTAATGATAACCTTTTTCGTGACATAATAAAAGATTAAAATCAATTATAATTGATTATAATTCTTCCGAAAATTTCGTATAAACTGTTTTAATCTTTTTCTTTGTCAAAAATTTCTAAAAATGAGATGTCTTGTCACACTTTGGTTCATATCGTGGCGCACAAATTTTCATAGAGATCTTTTCATATTAGTTGAAAGGTTCACGCGGTAGGCGAAATATAACTCTTCTAAACAAATCATGAAACTAAAGCAGTGTGCTGATATTTTGGTGGTCGAAGAAACTAAAATGTGCCAAAAGAAAAAACTCTAATTAAGAAGAAATGAAAAAAAACAAAAACGTTCTAAATTAGAATTGATTTGAAAATGGTTAAACAATTTTCCCATTTTTCACATAAACCAATGCCTACAAAAATCATAAAATATAAGCAATTCAGGTGCAATGTCGAAGACAAAGTGGGAAACATAGGGATTATAAACATTTCTAATCGATTATAATGGATTTTTTCTGCAAAACAAATTCGGATAAAAATTATTATAATCAATTACAATGTTTTATAATTGATCATATTTGATTTCAATAAGAGAGATTATAATCAATTATTAATTGAGATTATAATCGGTAAAATAAATTTTTTCTCAATATTAGTAAGACTGGTACTACAATCAAATTATAACCAATTGTTAACGCTTGAAACTGGATACTGGTACGAACCCATTTTGGTATCAGATTACTGCCCTGTAAAATATTCGAAAGCCATTTACAATAACAAAATTAGAGTAAAAACAATTACAGTAAAAACTCTTTTCAAATTAGACAAGAAACAAAAGTACATCATTTAGTTTCGAAGACATGCAAATATCTTTAAAAATGCAGGCTAGCCGCAAAAAACCTTGATAAAGGCTACTGTCCCTTAGAACATTGAAAAAATAAACCGAAAAAAAAAATTGCAACAAAAAAACTTGGGTGTCGTTCGCCACTACAACCAGTTTATTTAAAAATCTTGAATAGAGGAGAATTTTTTCAGAGGAGAACTTAATTGAGCCTATTGGAGGTAACCAGTGAACATGCCCCAGAAGAGTTTCAGTTTGCATAAAGCAAAATGAATCCTGGAACCAAGTAATGATGTGAATTACTTCAACCAAATTTGAACTTGGATAGTCAAAAATTACCAAATCTTAAAAGCGTTTTTCAGCAGACTTTTTGTGATTTTCTGCAATTTCGAGTATATGTTTCGAATTTCCATAGAAAAATCAAAAAAGTATCCGTATGCATGCCTTCTAGCAATCGAATCAATAGTTCGTAAGTATAATGTTCATGGAGAGTTAAAATGCTAGTGCGTTCAAAAAGGGTAGTTACAGAGTCTGGATTTTTCAAAAAGAAATTGTTTTCAAGAGTTTTTGTGCTGATATTTTGATTTCTTTGTTCGCTTTAACTTAAACTTTTCATAATGTAAGAAGCTTTCAGATCGTTCAGTTAAAAATTGGCGTTCGTTCAATAGAACCAAAAAAACTATAACGGGAGACGGTGGGTGAGAGCATTAACTAACTTCTAACTTGGCCCTTAAATTTTGCTTCCAGGGAATTGATTATCGGCGAGTTTTTTCGAAAAAAAGTAATTTTAATTTTTATATTGTTTTGTTTTTACTTTTTGCTGAAAAACTCTAAAATTTTGGCTCAGTTAAACGAAAATATAGCGAAAAAATCCGATTTTAGGAGCAAACACGTAGAAGCACAAGTGCAAGACTTCGTCAAGAACCGAGAAGAAGCAACAGCCAATCAGCGATTAGTGAACAAACTCCTTCAAAAACTGACTAATCAGAGTGAAGACTTGGAACGAAGCGAGAGCCGAACAATTGAAGCGATTGAAGCTGAGTTCAAACAAATCGAAAAAGCTCTTCTTTTGCAGAAAAACAAGCTGAAAAGAGAAGTGATCAGAAAGTTTAACTCACAATCGAAGCCTTTGCAGCAACAGAAAAGAATCTTGGAGAGAGATTACGCAACAATTCAGACCAAATACAGTAATATATTACGTAATGTGGGCCTGCCTCCGTCGTCGGCGCCACTGAGCGCCTACGGGAAAATAAAAAACAACGAGTTTGCTCAGATCTGCGGCAACACTGTCAAAGTTGCCGAGTTAAGTTCGGCATTTGACGAATTGAAGGGCAAAGTTCACGAGACGACTGATGAAATTGCGTGCTTGGAATACAGTTCTGAAGAAACTTTGAATGACCTCTTGGAAAAGGTCAAAATTCACGGAGAGGTCAAATTTGAAGCAAAAGAAGATGATGAGAATGACTGCCAAAAATGTGAAGAAAGCGCTGAAATAGAAAAGGAAGTCACAGAAAACAACTACAAGGACGACGAGGATGAAAATAAAGAAAGCAGCGCATATGAAGCTAGTTGAATATGTAAGTTCAACCAAACAAAAATTACCCTAATAATGCTGCTACTTATGCCAAATATAATTGACGTTATCTATGACTTAATCAATAAAAGACTACCCATAAAAAAATTCTCGCTTATGTGCTTCGACCACGGCCGGGAAAAAATTTATTGTATTATGACGTCATTTTCTTCGAAAACAGTGTGACAGAAGACCGAGTGATGTGTCCTATTATAACCATCTCAGTCTTAATTTGATCCTATCTTTAAAATTGAAAAAATATATATATCTGTGTCGAGAAAAATTGATCTGAGCATGTTTGGTTTTGAGACCAGTACAGAGCAAAGAGTTAATCAGTGCGCCAACCGAAATTGAAAACTGGTTTCATACACTTCAAACACTTCAATTTCTACCTACAGAATCCCCATGTGTTTCAAGTTTCAAATTAAAAACATATAAAATCAAGCGAGACATTTTACGCATTCAAAAACACGAGAGCAAGAACTTAATTCCCATAATAGTTTGTTTTCGTGTGGTTTTTGACTCTTTTAATTAACTAGATATAGAAAAACTAGCAGAAATCATATGTTCCAGTTTTCTCTAGTTCACTTTCACTTTCTCGTTTTGTAAAATTGTTTCATTCATAGTACTTTTCAGGTCGAAATTGCACATATATACCACAAACATTTGAGTTACTTGCGCATATATACCACATAAAAAAACATCAAACTAACCAAAACTAGATCAATTCTCGCATCGGTTTTGAAAATATTTTGAAGAAAAGTTTTTTCTTAATAGAAGAACGAATGAAAAAAAAACTGGATCAATGGGCAATTTGCTACTCTTCTCTGAAAAAACTGAAATCTAAAACCTAAAGATCTTTTGAAAAGACTTTTTTTCTATTTTTGCCATCAGAATATTAAAATCATTTTAGCATATTATGATTCTTGGTAGCATAATTATATCCTAGAATTGCAGTCGTTGGCTAATTCGGGTGAGATTTTTGTAAGTCATAACTCTAATACAAAACACTTTCTCTGTAGACCACGGAGTATTTCACAGAGCAAAATTTTTCTTTTTTAGTTTCAAAACCAAAATAATTGGATCTCATGGGTTTCAGAAAAAGTAATTTTATATATTGTGTAGAAGACAGCAGAAATTTTGAGGAAAAGTTTATGTTCTAGGAATCTATGTTTTCTTTGTGTTGAGTTTTTGTCAATGAAAATGACAGTTTCCATCAGAAGAAAAATTATTTTTTTAAAAATTAATGTTAAAAACAGGGGCGGATCTAGGATTTTCTCGAGGGGGGCAGATTTTCAAAAACTTTCGGAAACTTTGTTGACTTTCTGTAAAATCGACCGATTTGATTTTCTGAGCTCTCATAAATCACTGTAAAGACCCCATTTTGACCAAATTTTGTTGTGCCGCAAGCAAAATTTTGAAAAAAAGGCCAAAAAAGGGGTTTTTAGGCATTTTTTGGAAAATTTTGAACAAAACATCGCGTTTTTTCGGCGCGCGCTCTTCTCTCTCAATTAGTATATATTGGCGCCAAAGAAAAAAATTTAGGGTCAGTCAGTGGAAAATGGATATCTCAAAATAGTGCAAAGGGGGGACCCTTTGGGTCAGCAAGGGTCGAATCCCTGAGGGGGGAGGGGGCGTCCCACCGATTTCCGCCCCTGGTTAAAAGCTCAGGTTAAAAGCAATAACAACGTCTAAATGCTTTGAATTTTGAGAAACTTTTTTTTGATTATCTTCTTTATGTTTTTTTTTTCACTTCATATTATTAAAGAGCATCCTGTATTTGACTTGTATTATCTCTTTATTAACGACGAACGCGACTTATCTAATTTTGAGCCTTGTGATATTTGTCTTTCGAGTCGCGCAAAACTGCAAAAATTTTGTTCGAATGAGCAAAAGATTGCGACAAATACTTTTTGTGGCGCTCAAATCTGCGCAGAACTTTTTAATTGCGATTGGATGCAAACAATTTGTTTGAGATTGCTGCATACCAATTTAAGTTGTGATGATCTCACCATGCTGTGAAGCAAAAGCAAAAAAATCTACCAAGGAAAAAAGAGCAACTTAGCAACTAAGAAATAAAGAACACTCAAGCTAATTGACCTTTGATCTTTTTTTGTTAGTTTACTTTTCAACTGCAAAGATAAATTATTGCAATCCAAATTAAATATAAATATATAAAATTTGACTACTTTTTTTTACAAAACAACAAGTATTATTGTCCAGGTTTTTTCCACTCATAGAAAATGCTAGTTATACACTTCAAAAGATAATTAAGAATCAATGAAAAAAAATGTGAATCTATAAAAAGAATGGTATGACAAGCATGTTTACCTAGCCACAAAAAGCAGCAAAAAAACTTTTGGAAGTATAAACGCAGAAGTTCAAGGAAAAATAAAAAAAAACAATTCATTCCTGGAACAATTTTGTGTAAAAACGTACCTTTGGGTCATTTTTTTAAATAAAAAAAATAAATAAAAAATGTTTAGCCCAAAAATTGTTTCGCACAAAATACCAAAGGATTCTTAGCGACGGGCCAGATTTTTTAAATTTTACACTTTTTAAAAAAATCATAATAACAATCGGCCAAAAAAAGTCACAATTTTTTTTATGATTGTGTTTTTCAAAATAAACAACTTCTAGCCATATTCAAAATGTTAAGACTTTAATTATATATAATTATGAGTGAAAATAAAAGGTTTAGAATCGATGACAAATCTTCTAATCTTCTAGCACAGTTTATCTATGAGATAATTTCCCATCTAAAAGTGCATTTTCTTGAATGAAAAAGTCTGTGGTTATTGTGTTTTCAGACAAAACACAAAATTATGATACAAATTTACTATTTTCACAAGAAATTAATTTAGAATAATATTTCGATTGCTGTTTTATTTGATTACCGTAACATTGTTCTCAATCAAGAATGTGTGGCTGTAAAATATTCTACTACACGACACACAAGATTCTGAAAATATTGTTTCTTAGCCACAGACATAATGAAACAGGTTTTGCATCGAAACAAACAATCTGTTGTAAAGATTATTCATTTTTGAGTAGAAAAATAAGTGAAACCGTTTTTTTTTGAATATCTAATTACGTCTTAAACGCTTTTTGTTTTGAAACTGCGTTCAAAATCTGCTTATAATTCACTTTAGTTTAATTAATATACACACTGAAAGTGAGGAAAGTGTTGGTCTTTGTGCGTTGTTGAATTTTCAAGTCAATTTAACGAATGTTTCCAAAGAAAATTATGTTCAATGATTAGTTGTCAAATGATAAATCTTTCTGAAAATTGTAAATCTTGAATATAAATTGTTTTTCTTTGTGTGGTAGTTTTTTCTATTTTATTCGTTTTCCTCGAAAAATAAAATGGCACAATTAATCATTGGAAAGGGCCAAGTGATATATCATATTGGTTCATTTTCAGTCGTGATCGAATGATTTATTAAAATGTTCTAAAACTTGTCCCAGTGACACAAATAAATGAATTTCAGTCAAAATTTGAGCAATCAAAGCCATTGGCTAAAATTTGCTGAGAGTCGGATATCTAAAACGAGAAAACATTAATTACCACTTAAAGAAAACAAATTTTGCAAGCTTGATACCTAACATATTTTCCTTTAAAAAATTTTCAACTATCTCAAAACAAAATCTGCAAACAATTCGAAAAGTTTCTGGGAACAACTTTAGTAGATTTTAGTTTTACTATACCTTTTTGAATTTTTAAGCTTTCTATTTTTCCTCATCATCCAAAAAATGTGAGTAAAATAAGGTAATGTGAACACCATATTTCACCCAAAAGTCGTGAATATAGATTTTTGAAAGATAAAATGCAAAAAAATATCGGAATGAGTCGAGTGATATATTTTATTTAAATTTTTTCTGTCGTGATCAAATGAATTTTAAATTGGTTAATTAGCTTGTCCCATTGTCAAGAGAATGTTTCGACTGCCTTTTAATTTCTATGGAGTAAATTAAAATAAAACAAACGATTAAATTTTCAAACAATCCGAAAAAAAAAATTTCGAAATTTTTTTTTACTTTTTTGTTCGAAAAGTATGCCCATACACGCTATGCAAAGTACAAAATGATATACTTCCGCAAAAAAAGAACAAACACTGTACTGATACGCTGTTTGATCAATAAGTAAAATAAAAAAACTATGTTAAAGGAACAGGTATTTGAAAGTCAAACACCACGCTATTAGATTGTCTGCCAACAAATCTTCCTCGGAATTGACACACTTTCACACAAAGACTTTTTGACCATGCTAAAGATTTCCCATGAAAATCTACATTTTTCAGTTTCGGAAAATCTGGTAGATTGGAGTGGAAAAAACGCAATTGTTTTTTTCAGCCGTTTTCATTGGTCGGAAACTTTACAATTTGACTGAACTACGATCATCGATTTGTACACTGCGACTCAGATATATGCTACTTTCGTGCAGTGTTTTGATATATATATATATATAAGAGATGTGCCGATCAGATTACATAAAGTAACTCTGCTATAACTATGCGCACAGCCCCCCTAATTTCAAAAACAGTGTTTAAAAACTGTTAGCACACTTATTCTGATAAGCGAAATATATAAATTCTATATCTGGATTGCGGTCAAAACTTAGATATATCATAAAGTAGACAAGTCGTCAGCCAATCACAATCGACTAAGAAAACAAATGTAAGAGAACTATTTTCTTTTTTTTTCTATATTGACAAGTCGTCAGCCAATCACAATCGACTAAGAAAACAAATGTAAGAGAACTATTTTCTTTTTTTTTCTATATTGATTGGCTCACGAAAGCCTATACTTGGTGGAGGATTACACCAGAAGAACCATTTCTTTGAAATTATTGTAGTTATTCAGAATTCAGTATTTGAGAACTGGAAGAATTAAACTGGAAAATTAATTCTAACGGCTAATTTTGGCCCATTTGATCCTTAAATTATTAGAATACTCCCCTATCCCTTTAGATGGACTTTTTTGATAATCACATGGCGTGAACAAAAACTTGTGTGTATTTGCCGGAAACTTTTGAGAACTGCAAAATAAGATTTTTAAACTCTAAAACAAAAACCCTAAACCACAAAATTCTTTTTACAGTTTTCACAAAGAACACAAATGCCATTCACTTGGCTAAATGGAAAGAAACAAGCGTTTTTCAGTTCAAAATACCGACAAAAAACGTGACTGAAAATTATTAAATTTAGATTTCCTAGCGGATGAAGTATGTTTTATTCAAGTTTTTTCTAATTGAACTAGATTTATAAAAAAAGCGTTAATTAGAAAA